CCGCCGGGTTCTCCGCCTGCCTTCAAGGCACGTTACGTTGCCCGAGGCTTCAGTCAGCGTGAGGGGGTCGACTTCTTTCAGACCTTCTCCCCCACCCCGAAGATGACCACTCTTCGGGTGTTGCTACACGTTGCAGCTCAGCGTGACTACGAGCTGCACTCCCTCGACTTCTCGACAGCTTTCTTGCAGGGTAGCCTTCACGAGGCCATCTGGTTGCGCCGTCCACAGGGTTTCACTGGGTCGTTTCCTGCGGGTACCCAGTGGAGCCTACGGCGACCAGTGTACGGCCTGCGTCAGGCGCCCCGTGAGTGGCACGACACACTGAGGACGACACTTGCGGCTCTTGGGTTTGCTCCTTCGACTGCTGACCCGTCGTTGTTTCTACGCACCGACACTACTCTGCCGCCGTTCTACATCCTCGTGTACGTCGACGACTTGGTTTTTGCTACTGCTGACACTGAGGCACTGACCCTAGTGAAGGCGGAGCTGCAGGAGAGACACACCTGCACTGACCTGGGTGAGCTGCGGAGCTATCTTGGCTTGCAGATCACCCGGGAGAGAGCACGGCGCACCATCACCCTGACTCAGTCACACATGGTGCACCAGGTCCTTCAGCGCTTCCGCTTCACGTACTCCTCGCCACAGCCCACTCCTCTGGCTACCGGCCACTCGCTCTCAGCTCCACCTTCGGACGAGTCCGTAGAGCCGAGTGGTCCGTACCCAGAGCTTGTGGGCTGCCTCATGTACCTGATGACGTGCACACGACCTGACCTCGCGTATCCTCTCAGCCTTCTGGCTCGCTACGTGGCACCCGGCAGGCACCGAAAGGTGCACTTTGATGCTGCGAAGAGGGTACTGCGTTACTTGTGCAGCACATCGGGCATGGGGCTCGTGCTTGGAGGACGGGGTCCTGTGGTCCTCACAGGACACTCTGACGCTTCTTGGGCTGACGACCAGGCGACTCAGCGTTCGTCACAGGGCTACACCTTCAGTCTTGGCGCTGGTTCTGTCTCGTGGAGGTCCACTCGTTCTTCTTCTGTGCTTGGTTCCAGCTGTGAGGCCGAGATCTACGCTGGGGCCATGGCTGCACAGGAGCTCCGTTGGCTGACCTACCTGCTGACCGACTTGGGGGAGCGGCCTCGTTCTCCTCCAGTTCTGTACGTCGACAACAAGGCAATGCTTGCCTTGTGTCGCGAACAGAGACTGGAGCACAGAACGAAGCACATTGCTCTGCGCTACTTCCTTGCGCGTGAGCTGCAGCAGCGTGGTCAGCTGCGCCTTGCTTTCGTGGCCTCTCGGGCCAACACTGCTGATGTCTTCACCAAGGCCCTTGCGGCTGGTGATCATCAGCGTTTCTGCACTGCTCTTGGGCTTGTGCCCACTCTGCCTCACCTGCTGGTTGCTTGACTTGCTCTTGTTGTACACTGCTATATATCTTTATACCTGCATGTTTCCTCTTGCTAGGTTGTGATCTGTGTACTGCCTTGCTCTTATAAATCTGCATGTGAACTGGCCTTGTGGCTGCCTGCTTGTGCTCAGATTGTGTGGTGTCCTTGAGATCCACCCTGGGCTTTGCCTTGCTTGTTCTCTTGCTTGACTGGTCTTGTGACCACTGTTAGGCTTGGCTATCCCCTACTTCACCTATGGGGGTGTGTCAAAACATATTGTTCTGCTTATTTCACTCTAGGTTGTGTAGGGTTCTTTCCTTAGAGGGTACAACAATCTCTCTCGATAGTCCTTGTACCCCCCCCTTACCTAATCGAATTCACTCATCTAGCTAGTAACTCTAACAAGCCCCTCATGTCAATTAGCCATTCAGTCAAAGCCATGTGGACCTTCCAAATGTCAAACCAGACCTATTCTTCCCGAGGCCGCACACTCATGAATCACCGCGGTGCCGCACGACCTCTCTACCCGCCTCACCACATGCAAAAGAAGCCTCCAAGGGTGACCCAACAAAAGAGTGCCGGAAGCAGGCTGCACGAGTGACCCAATTAAAAGATATGCAACAAGCAACACTATTTTAAACGCCTCTGTACACTGGGTTATTTTCAAAGAACGTGTAGGGTCTGAGTCCTGATTCAACAAATAGCGAAGTAGTTTTCACCAGTTTTATACCCGAAAACCAGAACTTGTTAAAGCCGCGGTGCAACTATCTTAGGAACAGTGTCAAACCGGGTTTTGTCTTGTTCCGTACTGGTAGTCAATTGGCTAGCGAGAGTGTAAGTCGTGTTGCGATGAAAACATCTAAGGTGAATGTCGCGAACCTCGAAAGGAAAAGTGGGGGGGAAGGGGTTGGGGGGAAGGAAAGGGGGGAACACACACGAAACGGGAAATGGGACCACATCAACACCCCCATACTCCCTTTCGCTGATTGTTCTGCCAATAACACCTCCACATTGCAAAACGAGAAACCTTATGTTCCAAAAAAGCTGCGCAAAATACCAATTTCACTTTCAAGTTTTATTTTGGTTTATTTATCCATCCATTTGCAAGAGTAATGTTTCTAATGGGGAGAAAGAACATCAACTGTACAGATGTGCAAGACTTGGAATGTCATATTGAAATCCTTATTATGCTAAGGATAAAAGCAAACATGGCATCATCCAAGGAGAGCAGATTTTTACACTCCGATCCACTATTGGTGCAGCTGTCCATTTGCAGGGAGGAGGGGGGAGGGGAAAGGGGGGGAGGGGGAGGGGGAGGTGGGGAAGGGAAGGAAACGTTGCACATTATTGAAGAATGTTAGGTAGGGAAATTGAAGAGAGCATGGAAACTGAGATATGATAGACAGCCTTCTGTGGCCAAGCAAAGCTGGTACTGTCGGCTGGGCTGGACGAGAGAACGTAGTGGAAAGGGAAGGGACGGTAGTGGGGGAAAGCGAGGGACAGGGGAGGGGGGAAAGGGATGGCTGAGAGAAGCGTGAATGGTGGGAGAGGACAGTAGGAAAGGAAGGGATGTGAGAGAGGGGGAGGAAGGGTGGGAGGGAGAGAGGACAGGGGGAAAGGGAGAGAACGACAGGGGGAAAGGGAGAGGCGGACAGGGGGAAAGGGAGAGGAGGACAGGGGGAAAGGGAGAGGAGGACAGGGGGAAAGGGAGAGGAGGACAGGGGGAAATAGAGAGGAGGACAGGGGGAAAGGGAGAGGACAGGGGGAAAGGGAGAGGAGGACAGGGGGAAAGGGAGAGGAGGACAGGGGGAAAGGGAGAGGAGGACAGGGGGAAAGGGAGAGGAGGACAGGGGGAAAGGGAGAGGAGGACAGGGGGAAATAGAGAGGAGGACAGGGGGAAAGGGAGAGGAGGACAGGGGGAAAGGGAGAGGAGGACAGGGGGAAAGGGAGAGGAGGACAGGGGGAAAGGGAGAGGAGGACAGGGGGAAAGGGAGAGGAGGACAGGGGGAAAGGGAGAGGAGGACAGGGGGAAAGGGAGAGGAGGACAGGGGGAAAGGGAGAGGAGGACAGGGGGAAAGGGAGAGGAGGACAGGGGGAAAGGGAGAGGAGGACAGGGGGAAAGGGAGAGGAGGATAGGGGGAAAGGGAGAGGAGGACAGGGGGAAAGGGAGAGGAGGACAGGGGGAAAGGGAGAGGCGGACAGGGGGAAAGGGAGAGAAAAACAGGGAGGGCACTGGCCAAGCGAAGTTGATGCTGAGGATCGGGCAAGGGATCGGAAAGGGGGAGGCATTGGAAAGGGGGAAATTGGATGGGACGGGAGGTGACAGGGTGGGACGCGAGATGCTTCGCCACCGTCGCACAGATGCTTCGCTCCGTTGCTCGCTATCGTCGCCCTGGTGCTCGCTATCGTCGCCCTGGTGCTCGCTATCGTCGCCCTGGTGCTCGCTATCGTCGCCTTGGTGCTCGCAATCGTCGCCCTGGTGCTCGCTATCGTCGCCCTGGTGCTCGCTATCGTCACCCCGCTGCTCGCTATCGTCGCCCCGCTGCTCGCTATCGTCGCCCCACCGCTCGCTATCGTCGCCCCGCTGCTCATATGCGACCACCGATATCTAGCTATCGTCGCCCCGCTGCTCGCCACCGTCGCACCCATTCCTGCCTGTCGCTGCCGTTGCGCCTTTGCTACCGCAGATACGTGAGGAATGGAGGGGCGGGAGAGGAATAAGGACGGCAACGGAGGAAAACGAGCGCAATGCGCTTCGAATACGACAAAAAAGGTGTTTACGAGGTAGGAAATTGCGCAGATATTCGTGAGCACATCAATAGACCATGAAACGCGAGAAATCTTAGCGGAAATGGCTCTGCGTAGCTCGGGAAACTTAAGAACCTAGTTAGTAAGAACCTAGTTCAAGCGTGAGAGTTTGCCGAGTTTGAGTTGTTTTGAGTTCAAGTTTGAATTTTCAAGTTTGCTGCCTGCGCTCCCCCTCATCTCGTTGAGCGGAGCTTTTCCCCGAGCCCTCCCCCGTTTCCCCCCCCACACATCATACTGCGAAGGACTTTTCCGCACGCCCTTCCCCCGCTGGCAGAAACCTCTCCCTGCTCGCTTTCCTGTGTATACTGGGTTACGCGGCTTTCAAACTATAATAGTTTGAACTGGAGCCGGGATATCTGGTTGTTTCAGTGAGCAGCGGGGGGTTTTAGGGTATCATTTCTGGAAACTCACGGTTTGGAAGAAGCGACGGAAAACCGCCTGAGTCCTTCCTGCCCGTGGTTCGGCTGATGTAGAATTATCACGACTGGTTTCCCCCGAAATCCGCGGTCTGTGTGAACATGCCGTGCCCACAATCCCTCTCATTCCCCACCCACCTCTCCCTCCAAAACCCCGCCGCACCCTTCCTTTCGTCGTCCCCACCCTCACCGTTACTCCTGGGTTCATCTCACATCATTTTGTGTGCTTGCCCTCTCACTTTCCTCCCAATCCTCTCTACTGCGCCTACCCATCAAGCCCATTCTCTTCTCCCCTTTCCTCCACCCGAGCTGGTTTCGGGATTACCACGCTCCACACCGCAACCGCACTAGGTCGATCGCTCTAACGTTCGCACGCAATCGCCCTGAAATGGCTACCATGGTCGGCACAGGCGGCATGTGCGACTGTCAGTGCGAGCAGCGGTGCGAGTCGGTGTGCAAAAGAGGCGGCCCGGCGGGGTCTGGGCGGGTGCGGATGTGGTTCGAGGAGGAGATTGAGGAAAACCTGAGATGGGTCTTCGGCGTCACTAAGTACGTTTCCTTTCCACGTTTCCCTCCACGTGGCGTGCAATGCACGTCACATGCGCGCCGTCTGCTAGTAACAGCAACAGCCTTTAGCGGCTCGAGCAACGTCGGGCCTTCATCACTCTATTAGCGCCTGCCCCTGGTGTCTCGCCACGCCCCTCACCCGCGCAAGCGCCTGCATTAGCGCATTTTCGACTTTGGCCCCACGACCCGCTTACTATCCAACTTCCTTCCCGCATCGCGCCCTACTGTACTGTCGTGTTCCGCCCTTCTGTAAACTCCCCTGCGTTTCCCGCGCGGAGTGAGCGCCATTGCCGCTAACGAGAACCTCTCGGCTAACATACTCCCGAATCGATCCCTCTCTCGCCCCCCAGCATTCTCCACACGGGGGTGAGCGAGTTTCAAGACATCGAGCTTCTGGAGAGCGGGCCCTTCGGCAAGGTAAGCGGTACATCTTTCGACGTTCGCATCTGCGAGTCGTGACGGCCCAACGTCGTCCGCGGTCGGTCCGCGGTCTTCTGAATGTCTAGAAGAATGGTCAGCTGTCGCCCTCGTCTTTGCGTCTGCCCGCATTCTCCTCTCGTGCTTTCGTCTTCCATCTCCCGGCCATCCACCGATCCGCTGTTTCCCCCCTCCCCCCACCCTGTACCCCCGGCTTCCGCCTCCTCCCAGTGACTATTTCACTCCCTCCCGCCCCGCTCCCCCCTCCCCCTGCCACTCCGGCGCGGCGCGCAGTGGAGCGGGTGCAGGTGCTGACCATTTCTCCCGTTGACCATGTCTCTCCCTCCCGACCCGCAGGTGCTGGTGCTGGACGGCAAGCTGCAGAGCGCGGAGGCGGACGAGTTCGTGTACCACGAGTCGCTCGTGCACCCCGCGCTGCTCTACCACCCGCAGTACGTGCCGCGCGCGCGCTCGCCGCGCTGTCGCTGCTCGCTTGCGCGGCGCGCTGTCGCTGCTCGCTTGCGCGGCGCGCGTAGGTCTGTCATCGCTCCTGCCTGCTATCAGGCCACCATTGGCCAATCAACGAGCTCATGAAGAATGGCATGGCGTTTTGTTATTCCTTTTCCCTAAACTTTTCGCGTATATTGTTTTTTTTCCGGTCCGGAGCCCCAGCCGTCGGGTGTGGCGCGGGTGTAGGGTTTACCGCCGCGATGCACTTTAGCGGGGATGGTGGGGGTGGGCGATCACACCGCACTGCAGTGGCGGATGCTGCGATGAGTGGGAATCCGACCGTGACTGTCCCGACTCCCGAGTGATGACGTCACCCTGAACCCGCTATCCGTCTCATCCTTAGCCTCTTACCGTTGCCTCTGCACGTGTGTGTGCGTCCATGGGTGCATGGTGGCCTATGTGTACGCGTGCGGTTGTGCTTGCATGGCAGGCCGAAGCGCGTGTTCATCATGGGGGGCGGGGAGGGGTCGACAGCGCGCGAGTGTCTAAAGCACAGCAGCGTGGAGATGCTCGAGATGTGCGACATCGACAAGGTCAGTCAGTCAGTCACGGTCAGTCAGTCACGGTCAGTCAGTCAGTCTCTGTCAGTCAGTCAGTCACGGTCAGTCAATCAATCACGGTCAGTCTGTCAGTCACGGTCAGTCAGTCAGTCACGGTCAGTCAATCAGTCACGGTCAGTCAGTCAGTCACGGTCAGTCAGTCAGTCACGGTCAGTCAGTCAGTCACGGTCAGTCAGTCAGTCACGGTCAGTCAGTCAGTCAGTCACAGTCAGTCAGTCAGTCACGGTCAGTCAGTCAGTCACGGTCAGTCAGCCAGTTACGGTCAGTCAGTCAGTCAGTCACGCCCGTTCGTGCCCACAATGTTACAAGCCTTTTAAAGTGATCGAATCCACAACAAATACCTCCCTCTCCTTCCTCCCCCCTCCTCCCACTCACGCTCTCCCCTCCCCCCGACCTCCGCCCCCACATCCTCTCCCCCCACAACCCCCCCCCGCCACAACCACATACACACAGCGTCATCCACGCACACTTCAACTCCCATTTCCTTTCTCGTCCTCCCTCAATCCGCTACTCCCCTCCCACCCCCCTCCCACCCCCCTCCCATCCCCCTCCCTCTTCTCGTTCTTGTTTTCTTGCCAGCCTCTCTTTCTCGTCCTCTCACCTTCCAACCTGCCTCCGCTGTTGCTCCACCCACCGTTGACCCCCCAGACCGCTTCCACCTTTCCCCTCCTCCCTCCGAACCCGTTCGTTCCTGGCCACGAGAGAACTAGCCGCCCTACCCGTCCATCCTCGTCTTGTCCTCATATTCCCTCCGTTCACCTTTCCTGCCCGTTCACCTGCCCGTTCACCTGCCCGTGCGGAGCCATGGCAGGAGGTGGTGGAGTTCTGTCGGCGCCATCTGACCATCAACCGCGACACCTTTGCGTCGCCGCGCCTCAAGCTCATTATCAACGACGCGCTGTCAGTCTTTCTCTCCCGCTCACCCTCTCTCCCTCCCACTCGAACACTAAGCCACGCCTCAAGCTCATTATTAATGACGCGCTGTCAGTGCCTCCTGCTCGCCCGCCAGCCCGCCCGCCCGCTCGCTCGCTCGCTTTCTTGCTTGCTCTGCTCTGCTCGGCTCGCGTGCACCCGCCCTCCCTCCCACTCCCACACTCAGCCACACACACCCTCACACACACACCCTCACACACACACCCTCACACACACACCCTCACACACACTCACACACACAACACAACACAACACAAACACAAACACACACACACCCCACACCCCCACACACAACCACACACACCCACACACGCCCACACACCCTCTCACACCCCATATACACACCCACACACCCACACCTCCCCACCCCCCCCCCCCACACACCCTCCCACACCCCCACACACCCTCCTTAAGAACCTCACCTCGCTTCACATGCTAAACTACAATCCCTATATCTTGCCACCGCCACTAACCTAACCAGTCAACCGCTTCTCGCCTCTCCATCACCCACTTCAACCGTGCAGCACCACTACATCTGTAACAAATCGCGCATGTCACAGCATCCCCATACCCCCGGCCCCTTCCCTCCCTCTTTCTTCCACCCCCATTCCCCACCCCCATCATCTTACCCATCCTAAACCCTTCCCATCCCTTCTCCTCCACACCGTACCCCACCCTTCGCCACCCCTCCTCCTCCTTCCTCCTTCCTCTTCCTCTCCTCCCCCTCTCCTCCCCCCCCACCAGTGAGGAGCTGCAGAGCCGGACAGCGGAGGAGGGGTACGATGTGATAATAGGCGACCTGGCAGACCCAGTGGACGGCGGCCCCTGCTACAAGGCCCCATACTGCTGTCGCTTTCTCCCCCGCTTCCAATCCTTCCCCCCCCCTCCTCCTCCCCTCCTCCTCCTCCTCCACTCCTCCTCCGCCCGTCCTCCCCCCTCCTCCCCCATCTTCGTCCTACCCCCTTGCCCCCACCTCCTCCCCCCTACCAGTGAGGAGCTGCAGAGCCGAACAGCGGAGGAGGGGTACGACGTAATCATAGGAGACCTGGCAGACCCAGTGGACGGCGGCCCCTGCTACAAGCTCTACACCGAGTCCTTCTATACCTCGCTGCTCAAGCCGCGCCTCAACCCGGGCGGCATTCTCGTCACGCAGGCGGGCCCTGCGGGGATCCTGTCGGCACGGGAGGTTTATACGCCGATTTACAACACGCTGCGCCAGGTGTTCAAGTGTGAGTGGCCGGCAGGAATTGGGGGTGTGGGTTGGTGGTGGATGGGAGCGTGGAGGGAGGGGGGGGGAGGGTCTGATTTGCGGGGATCTGAGTGATGGGGAGAGGGGGTGTGAGTTGGGATTTTTTTTTTTTTTTTTTTTTGGGCAGATGCGAGTATGTGGTGGCGTGGAGGGGGGGGGGGGGGGGGGGAGGTGCGATAAGCATCCGTGGGTGTGATGGCTTGTATGAGAGGGAGGGAGCAGCCTGTGTGTGCTAAGGTGGCTCTGTTGCTGCAGTGGTTCCCACTGGTGCTCCTGCCACCGCCGCCGCTGCTACCGCAAGTCGTCACTCACACACAGATGCAACAAGATTGAGTTTGTTGCGTGCTGATCCGTGCGTGTGTGTGTGAGCAGATGTGGTGCCTTATGCGGCGCACGTGCCATCATATGCCGACACATGGGGCTGGATCATGGTAAGCCCTCCCACCCCACCCTTCTCACTCTCTCTCCCCCTTTCACCCTGCCCCTTACCTTCCTCTCCGTCTGATTTTCTTCCAACGGCTTTTTAATTATCTGCTACTTAGATGCATTGAGCCTACTTATTACTCCTTGCCTAAACCCTTTTCTTCATAGTGCTGCAGCATAAGCTTCCCAGACTCCTCTGCGCACTCCCTACAGTCCATCATTGCTAAACACTTACTACTATCACATTATTCAACACCACTCGTCCCACCAGTACAATTGCAACATTACCAACCACTACAGTTCCTGCCATCAGTGCTCCACCTACCCCACCTGTTACAAGCAAAACCCATCCCTTACTTACCTGTTACCGCAACCACCAATTATCACCGACCCTACTCTTCTCATTCCCCCCCTCTCCCCCATCTTTTTCCCCACCCGCCCACCCTCGCCCTCGTTCCCGCTGCAGGCGTCAGACACGCCGTTCCCGGAGATGGCAGCTGCTGACGTGGACGCGAGGATACAGCAGCGCGTGGACGGCGAGCTGCGCTTCCTGGATGGTTCCACCATGCTGGCCGTGGCCTCGCTCAACAAGCACCTGCGCAACCAGTGAGACTGGCTGGCAGAGTCACGCAGAGTCGGGCAGAGTCAAGTAGAGTCAAGCAGAGTTGATAAGAGTCGGGGAGAGTCAAGTGGAGTGGATCAGAGTTGATGAGTAATTAGTAGAGTCATTTGGAGTCAAGCTGAGTCATTTGGAGTCAAGCTGAGTCATTTGGAGTCAAGCTGAGTCATTTGGAGTTGTGCAGTATGTGATTCAATTAGATCCAAGTTTTAAGTTGGTTCCTGTGGATGGTGCTTTTCTTTTGTCCCTGTACTTGTGGCTTGTTTGTGCTGCCACTGGCGTGTAGCTTGCACCATTTCCATGCTTGAGTGCGGAATGGGTGGATTGTTATTGCAGGCTTTGCTCTCATATTGTGTTCATTGGGCTGTTACGCGCATTTGACATTTTTTACCACCCTTCACATGACTCTGCTTCTTTCCAGATGTGCAATGGAGACAACAGTGTACACTGAAGACTCCCCACTCTTTATTCATGGTTTGGGAACTCAGCAAACCCATGAAAAAAAATAGATCAGTATGCTGCATGTTAGATGCAGAACTATCTCAAAGAGACCCCTATTTTAACATCTTTAGCTGCAACATATGACATGTGGCATGTATGCAAATGGAAGTTATCTGTCTGCTGTGTTATCTAGCGCTAGAGTTCAGGCTGTATTCTATGTCCATGCTTGAGTAAGATGATGTGCAATTAAGTAAAGATTAGTAAGTTTAGCTGATTCAAACCGCTGCTCACCTGTATTAACACACTGATGAATGGACTTCACCGAAGGGGCCTTCCTTCCTCGTCATTCAGCCATTGGACGCAGGGTGAACTCGGAAGAACACCCATTGTGTGGAAGGGGCTGTCCCAAAAAACCCGCGTATCCAAGGTAACCAGGTCTGCTGGTGATTTTTTTTTTCTGGGAAACCGTCCCGCTGCCCGGAGCCTTCCCATTCAGGAAGCACGTCTGCGCTTCACATTAGTCGCTTTCCATCCATCTCCGGTAATTTCGGGGAGTCGTCGGCCAATCAGCCCTTCCAGTCGCATGAGATTCATTGGCAGCCTGCAGCATCGCAAACGTCGCCTCTTCGGCGAGAGGCCTCGCACAGTAGACCAGATCTCAACCGTAATTTGGTGCGTGTGGTGAGAGTAGATTAGAAATAAGTTAGAAATTAGTCACACTGCTCTAGGCAATAGTCAGACACGCGATATTCCTTCCAACTATCCAAGTGGTTTCTTTTTGAAGGCTCTGTTCCAAGGCCGTTCATTTCCCTGTAATCGTGCGGCCCACTGAGCGATAGGCCACTAGAAGTGAAGAATAAAGAAGAAGAAGAAGAAGAAAAAAATCGTCGCTGCGTTAGCTGTCTGGCTACGGTGGCATCGTTTGCGACAGGTCAGGCGACGGGCGAACGCGAAGGGTTGAAGTTATTGGTGAAACGATTAGCGTGAAGGGCTGGTGGCACGTGGCAGCTGACAGGCGTCGCGTGACAGGTGGCAGGTGGCAGTTGGCAGGTGACGGGTGACGGGGGCGCTGCAATGGATGCGGACGAGAGCAGCGGGATTGGCGGCGCGCCGTGGAGCACAAATTTATTCGACTGTTCGACCGACCCCAAAAGCTGTGAGTGTGACGCGTGCGTTAGGGCGCGTTTCGGAAGCTTTAGGCCGCATTGAGCAGCCGGCGTGGAGATTCGTGTACGCTTGCATAAGGTGGAATGCACTTTCCCCACAGCTGAGATAGCGTATTGTAAGTTGCGAGGGATACCTCTCTGCCAGCCCGGCTCTTGAGGTGACTTGAAGCCTTTTATCCGCCTTGAGTATTCTCAGCGCCGCGACACTTACCAGTCCTTTTTTCGTTGCATGCGCGTTTAATGACCGGAACGCCGGTACCATCGTGACGTGACATGCAATGCCACTCTCCGCAACGCCACGCTCGGCAATGCCACGTGTACGCATGCAGTGCATCCACGCCTCTCCATTCCCGTTCGATTCTGCTGCGCGGAACATGCGTGATTCGATAATCTTGACGTTGCAGGGTGTTTTTGAGAATCATCAGAATAACCATGGGTAGTTCCATAGCCTCGCCCCGTGTCACGCCCACCGTATCTCGCCTTCCCGCGTACAGCAGAAACAGACCCCCTCCCCACCTTCCCCTTCCCCTCCTCCCCCTCATAGCAACCTGCAGCTGCCCACAGCGGCACTTCCGTCAGACGCATAACCCTTTGTGTCCCCACTGCCCCTGCGCAGGTTACCTCGGTTGCTTCTGCCCCTGCGTGCTGTTCGGCCAGGTGAGCTCCACCTGTAGCTCGTTTCTTCCTCCCCCTCTGCCACTTTCACCTCTCCCGCCTCCCTTGCGCCTCGTGTGTTCTCCGTCCATTATCTTTTCTTTCCGCCGCCCTTCACCCTCAACTCTTCAGCTGCAATCACCTGCCTTTGCCGCTCCTGCGACCCCCTAGCAACGCACTCACACTTGGCCTTCCCGTCACCGACGCCCTTTCCTCACCTCCCGCCACCCAGCTCTTGGATTCAGTCTGTTTATTCTGCTGAGCTTTTAACCAGCCTCTCCTGACCTACACTCTGTTTCTCTGCTGCCCTTTAGCCTCATCCGGTGAAGCCCTTATTCCAATGCTGCTCACTACCGCTTTTCCTAATCCACTCGTAACTGTCGCATCAGCCTGCCTCTCCAGCTACCGTTCTTCTCTCCCCTTTTGCTTCCATTCCTCCTCATCCTTCCCGTCTCCTTCTTCTCTCACACCACACCTCTTACCCCTCTTTGCCCTCCTCCCACTTTTTGCATACCACCCTTTGCCCCATCCACCACTCCCTCACCCATCCCTCCGCCCCTCAGAACGTGCAACGGCTGCATGGGCGGCAGTGCTTTGGCCCATGTGTGATGCACTGTCTGCTGGGCGGCTGCATTGTGTGGGCGGCGTACAGCACTCTCGGCCCCGGTGCCTTCTGGTGCACGCCCATCTCCTGCTATGCCTGCAACTACCGCTCAGAGCTCCGGGCAAAGTACCACTTGAAGGTGCTTACTCCGTGCCACGCTGTCCCGCTTCTCTCTTGTAGTATTTTGCTCTATCCTTGTCCACGTACTTACTTATGACCCTTGCCAGTACTATTTCTCTTCTTGCTGGTTCCGTTCTGCTCTCCTGCATATTCTGGTTTGCCTCCTGTCGAGTCAGCATCTAGTTGTTTGTGCTGGTTATGAAGCTCTCATCCACGTTGGACAGACGAGCCAGTTAATATTGCGTATTGCGTACATGCGTTGGTTACTTCAGGTTCCGACAACAGCATCTTTGCAAGCAAAGTTCATTTCATGGAGCTGTGTCACGGTGCATACCTAAACGCTGACACATTGTTCCCCTGGAGCCACTGGAACTTCCCTCCAACCCTATCCTTTCTTGTGTCTTGTGTAATTTCCTCACTGGCAGGCTGAGCCCGCTGGTGACTGTCCGACGCACTTCCTATGCCACCCCTGCGCCCTCTGCCAAGAGCACAGAGAGCTACAATCGCGTCCCAAACCCTCTGGGCTGGACTTTTATGGTGGACGTTCAGGGGAGATTGTGGAGCTCACAGCACCCTCACCAGTGGGGAAAATGGAGTCTGTATTTTCCTCGTGATGTTTTACCTCACTCTGATTAATGTATGCGAGCAAGTGACAGTAACAGCTTGCAAATCTTACCGTACTTGCAACGGCAGTGGCCAAGACAGTTGTATAGCAAACATGTGTGTCCTGTTGAGTAAATTTCACTATCTGCTTCGGCAGCCTAAAATTACCTGTTGAAGTTGCATCATAGTTGAGTTTTGCTTGGTGGTGCATCAGGTGCACTGTGCACAGTTAGGATGGTGCATGGAAGAACATGAATGGTACATGCACTTGAACTAGTTTATGCAATCATTTCATAAAGAGTGTAGCAATTGCACTGCCCTAGCATTTGAAGAGACCCGAATCTAGCCTAAAATCATGACTTTTCGGAGCTTCGGACCCAAACAGAAGGGCCTGTTCTTAAAGACATGCCACATACACCTAAAGTCGAGTTCTTGAATACTCTTGGTCATTTCACTTTGCTAGCAGAGTCTCCTGTGAGATAACGGACACCAAACCTGAAACCACGCTGCAATCAGCGACGACACACGCCTTTCGTTGGGCGAGCAAATGCGAGTTCATGCTGATGGATGGTTGCCAGTCTCCCTCTACCACGATTTCGACTTCCTACTTGTAAAACAGAGTAGCTGTGACTACTGGAGGGCTGGAAACTTGGCTGGAAAGTCTTAGCAGGGCTGCTGGAATTGACTGGATGAGGTAAAACTTCACTATGTGCAAGATTAACAAGCCCACTAAAGCACAACTCTATAGGCATCACAAACAAGACAGATTGAAAGCTCAAACTAGGCTGATAGACAATGTAACTTCCCTGGTAACTTGGGCACAATCTAGATTGGATGGACCTTGAGTGACTTTGAGTGCCACATGAGGTGCATGAATAAGAAAACTCTGGATATTTCTGTTATAGCTGATTCTGATGTGTAGAAACCTGTAGAAACTGCCAACACTTCGGTTTGAAGGCAGCTTTGAACTATATCGAGTCTTCGGCTGAAATCTGATTGGTGGTGGAACTTTCGAAGTACTTCCCGAAGCTCTGATTCATCGCCGACATTCCCCCTTGCTGCTGCTTGTGTGCAAAGGGCTGGGGCGGCAGAAACTCGATTCTCCAACACTCCCCCTCGCACCAGACCCGAAGCACACATACACCCATGCTGATGCTCCTTTCACATCTCCTTAGCATACACTTCATGCTGCTGCCCACGTCTCTTCCCCTCACACTCCTCATTCTCCTCAAACTGCTCCACTGCTTCATGAAGTGTCATGAGGCCTGCTCTTGCCTTGCACATGTTGAATGCATCATGTGGAAGAACCTTGGTCATGAAATCTGCTGCTTGATCGAATGAACGGCAAAAGTTGACGGCGAGAACTCCCTTCTCTAGTTGCTCACGAATGAAGTGGTACTGCACCTCGATGTGTTTTGTACGCCCATGATGAACCGGGTTCTTGGAAAGAGCTACGGCTGAAGTGTTGTCCACGTAGAGCGGAGTTGGTTGAGTTTGCGGCTGCCTCAATTCCTCCAAGAGTCCACGTAACCAGATTGCCTCCCTTGCTCCTTCGGTCATTGCCATGTACTCAGCTTCGGTTGTTGAAAGTGCCACACAACTTTGCTTGCGCGATTGCCAAGAAACAGCGGCACCACACATGAGGAAGATGTAGCCGCCGGTAGACTTGCGTGTGCTCAATTCTCCCGCCCAATCTGCATCGGTAAAGCCTTGGAGGGAGCTTGCATATGGGCTGGCTTGGAAGAGAAGACCATGATTAGAAGTACCTTTGAGATACCGAAGAGCTCGCTTGGCTGCATGCATATGAATAGGTGAAGGGGCACTCATGTGTTGAGCTAGCTTAGATACCGTGAATGCTAAGTCGGGCCTTGTGCATAGGGCTGCATACATGAGACACCCAACCTGACTTTGGTACAGAGCTAGGTCTTGTGGGGATACCTTAAGTGAATTCTCACCATGATGCTCACTCTCCTCAAGACACAACTCTTTAATACCTATGATATCAAGGCTTGACTCTCTCTCTTTATAGGGATGATGTGAAGACAAAGGGACAAATTTGGAAGGAAATGGGGTAGGTGATGGCTTGCTGTCATCAAGACCAAACCTCTCAAGGACCTTTTGGATGTACCTTTGCTGGAATAGGAAGATGGACCGTGACTTACGATCTCTCACAATGTTCATACCAAGATAATGACTCGGCTCACCAAGATCGGTCATCGTGAATGCACTCGTGAGAATACCTTTCACCTTGTTGAGAAGATCAAGAGAACCTGAGACTAGGAGGAGGTCATCGACATATACCAAGAGCCAAATGTACTCCCCCTCACTCGTGTGCATGAAGTACAGAGCGTTGTCTCTCATGGACCTTGTGAAACCATGCTTGAAAAGTACCTGCTCAAGAGCATGATACCAAACCCGTGGGGACTGTTTGAGACCATAAAGGGACTTTACCAAGCGACACACTCGACCCGTACCGTCATCATAACCTTCGGATTGTGCCATGTATACCTCTTCTTCCAAGACACCGTAGAGAAATGCGTTCTTGACATCCATTTGATGGATATGGAGACCAAGATATGCGGCTATGGCGAGGAGGACTCGTACCGTGGTGTACTTTGCTACCACGGCAAAGGTTTCGGTGAAGTCAAGACCTGGAATTTGGGAATAACCTTTTGCCACTAACCTTGCCTTGTACCTATCGAGGCTACCATCACCTTTTACCTTGATCTTGTACACCCATTTGACACCAATTACCTTCTTCCCTGGAGGTGGCTCAACAAGACGCCATGTACCTCGCTTCATGAGACTCTCAATCTCCTCTTCCTCGGCTTTCAACCAATGCTCTCTTTCGGGACTTGCCATTGCCTCACGACGACTCAAGGGCTCTCGCGGAAGGTGTGATGCTGCCATGCATATTGCCTCTACCTTCTTGTGAATGCGATTCTCACTCTCCTCACATGTGCACCTTGATGACATGTCAACCATGAAATTGAAGGGCTTTTTTACCTTGCGGACTCGTTTACCTTTACCAAACTCCTCAGTTGGCTGAGACACATTAGTGGTAGGGTTCGGTCTCACAGTGTTTGATTGCGTTGATGCGGTCATTTGCGGCTGAGACAACGGCTGCGACATCGGCTGCGACGGCGGCACGGCTGCTTGTTCTTCTCCTGGCGTGGAAATATCTTGATTATCGGTGTTGACTTGAGGATTAGGTATGGTGACTCGTGGCGGTGAAGCTGAAACGTTTGTCGGCATAGTTGGTTGTGAAGATGCTCTTGGTGGGGATCTTGAGACTAGAAGCTTGGGAATTGATGATGACGCTGCCTTGTCGAGAGGTGGTGATGGTTGGGGCTGGTTGGTGTTGTTGCTCGGTGTTGAAGATGGTGGTAACTGATGACGACCGAATCCGGGACGTGGGGGTGAAGTTGAGAAAGGTCTTGGGTGAAGAAGTGGACTGTTGGAGCTGGTGTTGATGGTGACTCGCTGAAGTGATCCTCGTGCTATGAGCTGGCTTGACGTTGGAACAAGTGATGAACGTGTGGTATGAGAACGAGGTGTTGCGGTGACGGTTGACTTGTTGCTAGGAAGAGTCGTAGATGGTGTTGATGTAGGTACTTGGGGTCTTGTAGCTGTTGATTGCTGCTGCATGGGATGATGATGAGCTTCTGTAGTTGCCTCTGGAGTGATGGCTGGTGATGGGTTTGATGGCGTAGTGGTGGGCTGATCCGGTTGGCGTTGAAATTGTGAGGTTGGTGTTGATATAGCTGGCTGGTTTGTGACTGTTGGCTGCTGCTCCTTTGGTGGTGATGGAACGGTGACTTGCTGCGGTGGATTGTCTTCATTTGATGGCTGAACTTCATCTCCACTTGGTTGAGTAGCTGCTGGTGGCACTGGCGTGGCACGTTTGGACTCGTTGACGACGGCTTGAGGGAGATCGATGATCGGTCCGCTATGGTCAGAATCGGTGTCATCTTCTTCCTCCTCTTGTGTTGTTTCCTCAGGTGCGCTTGCTGGTTCCTGTTGGATAGAGGGTAGAGAGGAGGAAGAGGAAAACTTATGCCAACCTGCAAGGGACATGTCTTCATAGAAGACAACATCCCTTGAAACCACTTCTCGCTTGGTGACAGGATCCCAAAGGACCCATCCCTTGCTCTCATTGCTCATGCCGATGAAGAGGCCCCAATGAGCTTTGCTGTCCAACTTGAGTCTCTTTGCATCTGGAACACGGTATTGGGCCATGGAACCAAAAACACGAAGCATAGACAGATCTGGTTTAACTCCAAACCAAGCCTCATATGGCGTTACACCTTCCGGTAAGGGCCTTGTGGGTCTCCTGTTGCGAACATAAATTGCCATAGTGATTGCCTCACCCCACCAGAGCTTGTCAAGGCCTTTGAACTGAAGGAAAGTGGTAGCTATAGCCTGGATAGTACGATGAAACCTCTCTGCCACTCCATTTTGCTGAGGACTATAGGGACAAGTGAACTGTTGTTTGATGCCCAATGCCAACAACTCCCCCTGAAACGCTTTCCCCATGTACTCACCTCCTCGATCCGACCTCAAGGTGAGTAACTTCTTCCCTTACTCTCTCTCAACAAGTGCTAGCCATTGCTTGAAACACTTGTGAACTTCATCCTTGGTGTTGATGAAAAAGGACCACGAGAAACGACTCTTGTCATCAATGAAAGACACCAAATATCTCTTACCGTTTCGAGTAGGGTCTCGCATGGGGCCGAAGACATCAGTGTGGACCAACTCTAGGAGGTCCCTTGACTGAGACTTAGAAGGGAAGAATGGCTTTCTAGCTAGTTTACCTTCCACACAAGATGGACATGGAACGGAAGAAAGGGACTTGACTGCACTTTCATTCAAACTCAATCCTTCCACGCTCTTGTGATTTACCAACTCTTTCAATGCTTGCACTCCCACGTGCCCCAAGCGTGCATGCCATACCTCAGCTTGGGAGATACTCCCTTTGTTGTTGACTTGATCGGTTGAAACAGCGGGAAGCGAGACAACGTCGTTCTTCGTGTTGCTAGCACCGCACTTAATCTCCAACTTCATCTTGTAGAGCCGCCCGGTACGCTCGCCTTCAGCCACCAGATTTCCTGCACTGTCCCACACTTTGGCTTTCCCCCCTTGCAAGAGAACGGAGGCACCTTTCTCTTCGAGTTGTCCGGCTGAGAGCAAGTTTGCTCCCAAATCAGGAACAAACAAAGCTTTATTGACACAAAATGACTTACCATCCTTTTCGAACTCAAGCTTGCCGACTCCTTTGATTGGTACTTTGCCAAGATCAGCAAGAGTCACAGCTTTTGAGTCATATGAGGGCTGAAAATCCTTGAGAATGGACTGATAGGGAGTCATGGTTTCAGAGCAGCCACTATCAAGAATAAACTCCTCACTACTAGTAGAGAAAACGTGCATGCAAGTAGCAGCGTTAAAAAGGACAGGACCATCGGACTCTTTGGACTCATCTTGACTTGTAGAATGACTTGCTATATTTGCTATGGCTGCCTTACCTTTTTCAGATAGTAGCTGAGGTGGGGGGACCCAATTAGGAGGCTTCTTAGGACAAGCATACCACGGGTGACCCCACTCATGACAACAAAAACACTCAAAATTAAACTTTTTAGCATTCGGGGCTTGGCTGAAATTATTGACTCTTGGCATATTGACTCTTGCATTCCTAGGCTGGTATTGATTGGGAATCGAAGGCCTTGGCTGGACATAGTGACTGGACTTATAGGGAGGACTTGACTGAGGAAAACGAGAGGGTTTGTATGGGTTGGAAGGTGACTGAAATTTCGTACCGTAGTAGGGTTGAGGGCGGTTTGGGCTGAAATTTCCTTGCCTCTGGAATTGGTTGCCATATCTTGTGGCTGCTGCAGCACTCCACGCACCTTCGTCACTCCGCTTGTTCCGTGCAAGGTCTCGACTCTGCTGCTCGTTGACAAGGGCCTCAAAGATGAACGCACGACTCTTCATTGACTGCGGGAGCGCTTGTAGTGTTGCACGGAAAGTGTCCCACTCCGGTGTAAGGCCGGTGAGGATGACGGTCTTGAAAAGAGACTCTGGAATCTCCAAGCCGATCGCTGCTGCTTCCTCCAGCATTGCTTCAGCTCGTTGTAGGTAGGCTTGTGCTGATTCATCTTCTTCCATCTTCAGATTCATGAAGCGGCTCCACATCTCGGCTTGGCTGCTCTCGGATTTTGACTGGTGCATAGTCTTCAGTCGGCTCCATGCTTCCTCTGCACTGTTTGCCTTGGTAGAACAGGGCAGGAGCGACTTCAACTGCTGCTCGTGAATGCTATTGAGTAGGTAGAGGAAGGCCTCCTTGTTGCGTCGTTCGTAAAGTCGTTTTTCAGCTTCTGAAGCATCTGCTGCTGGTTTGGCTGCTTCTCCAGTGTAGTAAGGCCACAGATCCAGAAGGGATGCAGTGAGCTCAAACTGAGTTGCCCATGTTGGAAAATCTTTGCCGTTGAACTTGGGGAGGTGAAGCTTAGGCATGAAGGAGGTGAGTGGTGAGTATGTTGTTGAAGGACTGCCTGGTGCAACTGCTTCCACTAATCCAGTAGCTGCTGATGTTGACTCTGAAGCTCCTCCGGCTGGCTGGAGTGCAGGACCAGATGGATTGTCTCCCGCCATGTTCGTATGGTGCTAGGATAGGAACGTGGTGGGCTAGGTTGATCGAAACGACAAGCTCTGATACCAACTTGTAAAACAGAGTAGCTGTGACTACTGGAGGGCTGGAAACTTGGCTGGAAAGTCTTAGCAGGGCTGCTGGAATTGACTGGATGAGGTAAAACTTCACTATGTGCAAGATTAACAAGCCCACTAAAGCACAACTCTATAGGCATCACAAACAAGACAGATTGAAAGCTCAAACTAGGCTGATAGACAATGTAACTTCCCTGGTAACTTGGGCACAATTTAGATTGGATGGACCTTGGGTGACTTTGAGTGCCACATGAGGTGCATGAATAAGAAAACTCTGGATATTTCTGTTATAGCTGATTCTGATGTGTAGAAACCTGTAGAAACTGCCAACACTTCGGTTTGAAGGCAGCTTTGAACTATATCGAGTCTTCGGCTGAAATCTGATTGGTGGTGGAACTTTCGAAGTACTTCCCCAAGCTCTGATTCATCGCCGACATTCCCCCTTGCTGCTGCTTGTGTGCAAAGGGCTGGGGCGGCAGAAACTCGATTCTCCAACATTCCTCTCATCAAGTCCTCGTCACACTTGACTGCCCCACCCCGTAAGGGCGCGTGTCCTTGGTGGGCCTGGTTCAAATTCGAGTTCGAGTTTTGGGTGGTTACCTGTTTCGCCAATTTCGGCAGAATGGTTTGCGATATTGTGAAAACAGTGGTGGAAGGTGGAACCGAATGTGGAATACGAACACCGGTCGACTTTATGGCCGAACGTGGGCCCGCACGAATTTGTGAACGTGTGTCCTTCTGACCACGTTCATAGCTGCGGCGAAATCGGCGACACTGACGAAGGTCATCGTGCGCTATTTGTAGGCCGCTCTGTTCCGTGTCGCCCAGTGACGACGTGGCGCACTGTCAAGAACCCAGACAGGGTAACCTACGAGACGGGTACGCGACGCGAGCAATACTGTAGAAAGTCGAGTTCGATCATCGAACTCTCGATGTCACATTTGCTTGACTGGAAATTTGCAGGGCGGCTCGGCTATCGAGAGTTGTAATACTCGACTACAGTTAGAACCTAGTTCAAACTGTAAGTCTAAAAAGCAAACTTTACAAATATTGCCGAAGGACACACGCCCTAATTTCTGTCTTTGCTGCTAGCCCCCCGCTCGCCATGTTTTCGTGTCACGCGACTCTTCCAGCGCACCAATTAGGGGCCTCAGTAACGCTGCACCGGGAAACTCAGGTGTTCCGACCAGCTCGACGTCTTCGTTGCTTCTGCACCACGCGCGCCGCCGTCTCCACTGAGACGCCTTACACGGGGTAAGGACAGGACGGACCTTCTTGCCACATTACTGGTTACTCTCACCTGTCTACCCACTTCTGTTGTACTGCTCCGAGGTTTCTGGGACGCGACATTTTGGCTTTCTAGGTTGCGCTGGTGTGTCGTTGCCCTCCTTGTGTCTCTCTGCGCATGTGTTCCCCTCGCATTCTTCTACCCCAATGTCCTATCATTGTTTCTTTGTCCTCAATGCAGAACTCCTCGATATATTTTTGATTGAAACGAGCCGTACCGCACGTCTGTTCATCGCACCGCATCTCTGCCAAATTTCTATCCGGCCTCCTGGTCCCTCGCAGACGCGAATCTCGGCTCAGGATCCTTCCATCGGCTCAGGTACAAGATGCTCTACCTCGCCTTTGCGCCGTAACTTTACTTCTCGCCGCTGTATTGGTGACGCCGCTGGGGGAAGTAGCGGAGGCAGCTGAAGGCGGAGGACGCGTTGGCGGTCAGGTGTTTCAGCGGTCTCAGAAAGCCAAGGACCGGAAACCAGACAGCTCACGGACGGCTAAATCGCTACCGCCCCAATTGAAGAGGTACAAATCGTAGTTGTTGCTGAAGGAGTTTCCAGCTTGCAAAGTATTGTTTTGATAATTACTGTGCGTGACTAATTATTATTATCCCTCGTTTTGTATGCAGGTTCTTCTCAGTCTCGAATGTAATGACTGCACCCAACTTGCTGGGCATGTAATACGCAATTCATCTGGTTCATCCAGTTTGTAAAGAACTCCTGAACTGCTTATATTTTGGAAACAACATCCAGCAAGGAAGACATGCTAGTCAAGAGTTCCTACCTAGGACAAGAAAAGCATCAGAACGGCCATCATGTACCGTACTAAAGGCTGAAGGGCAAAATCACTCCGCGAGTCTCCCTAATGATGAAACACGTGTGACACACGGACGTCAGCGGATTAACAAGTTTGAGCGGCATCACCTCAAGAGTTGTGGACCGCTGCAGCCCCACACAAGAGCACAAATCACTTGGGCATTTTCTTCATAGTTTGGAGGCCATAGTTTGCTGCAGCAAAAACCGCAGCATGCACCACCACAGACGACGCTGGCACCCGGTTAGGAGCCACGTCTACGGGACCCTTGTCTCCTGGGATTTGCAATAAAAAGCCAGGTGATAGTGCGACAAACAGAGCCGTGGGGACGAGGAGAGCTGACGCGTTCATGGTTGCAGGAGGGAAGGAGGACGAGAAGCACGAACGGCGATCGTAATAGCAAGATAGTTTCAACACTGACAAATCACGCACAACAGAGATGGTGAGAAATACGGAGTTCAAGGGCCCGTGGGACTGCAATCAAGCGATCCGGGTTTCAATGGCGAACGATTACGATTTCTTGCGATGTCGAGTCGCATATGCATGCCTAAAAGGCGTGGACAGCGAAAGACAAGTGACACGTGGAGAGTTTGAGCAGGAAATGGAAAGGACCAGCCGCCATGCATGCAAGCAACGAAATCACTGCAGATAAGTGAAACACGTCCCAAGTCGAGGTGATAGTGTGTCATCGTCAATTGCTGACACTTTCGGGTTGGAAAACTACAGAATTTGTTACGGACCACTCCACTTAAAGCCGGCGCCTAGAATGGCAAGGGCTCAAGATTACTGAACTTGAAAAGGGTTCAGCGAAGGTTTACGAAAGTCGAAATTGGAAGGAACAGGTGGCGAAGGTACAACGTGGCACAGTGAATCGCAAGCCACAATAGTCTACCTCATGGCTCATGAACAAACACAAACGACAAACAACATCCAACCAACCATGACACCGTTCTGCGTACAAAATTCCTCCTCACTTCACCCACTCCACGCGATGTGACATACACTGTCGAGCTCGACCTGGAAAAGAGCATTCGACAACCGTCACCTACCAAACAAGACTCCTGCGCTTCGTCAGTGGAGAGCAAACTACCGGGTTTGCAACGGTTTTTTATGTTTCTATGAAATCGGAAAGGAGGTAGCGGTTATACACAGGAGTACGCAACAGATACGTGCCTTAGTACATGAGCACCGAGTCGCCAGCAGGATGTTACAACAGTGGCTGCGGCAGAAAATCATGCCCCCAAGAGACCTATTGTTTCAGGTCGTGTTGTAGTACGTGTCTGAATAGGAGTGACAAAGAGTGATAGACACACGTCTCGTCGCCACGCTTCGAGCAATCCATCGCCCTGTTAGTTCAGAGAACGCTTCATTTGAGTTGATTCGAGCTAGCTGAATACGAATCGCTGAGTGCGCTATCCACGGATGGAGAATTGACTGCACTTACCGGGTGCAAAGGCGCGCTCCAACGGAAAGGGGGACGGGGTTGGTCGACGAACTTGTCACGTTACAACGCGCGCGAAGGACAGTCCACGAACCATGCTCTAAGCGAGTGAGTGGGAAATGGTCTCTGCTGGTGCGCATTCTAAGGCACAGTGACTGAAACGACGGACAATGCACACAGTTTGTTCACGGTGTGTCAGGAAGTCACGATTACGACGGGTTGGCAACATGCATTCATTGATACCGGAAAATTCAGGATGACTGCCACTCACTTCTGACGCTACATATCTCCTGCATACATTGCTGCACGCACTTGACAGGCACGTCCCTCGTACAGCACACATATGTGACGCACTCATCCTGATACAGCTGGACCACGTTCATTAGAAACACTTCGACCTGCTCCACCCTCCTCTGCGTTGTACTCAACCGTCACAGCAGTCACCGGGGCGATAAATTTCCAGCACCGCACTCAATCCTCCCCGCGCTAATTACTATTCGTTAGCAGCCACTCGCACCGCACTCGACGGTACCACGTGCACTCCTGTTCCACTCTAGGGAACACCACCCACTTGTGGCTACTTTCAGATGTCACTGAGGCTTGAAGTACAACAAAACGCTATTGCACAATGATTATTAGCCACGCGTAGCATGACGCAATCACAGTTGTGAAAGCGTGCAACATTAGAATCACACACACGGGCTCGATACTCGCCCTAACGCAAACGGATTATCGCACCACCCACCATCACCCTGCACCAACCGTGATTTCGGGCCCCCGCCAGCACCGCGCCCACCATCGCCGCATTTGACTGTATCGCACCCCACGGGTTCGGCACGCACCTTACTGCACGCACCGCACCGATTCTCTCCACCTCATACTTTTGTCCCATTTCTCTGTGCGCACCTACACAGCTACGCCGGCGAGGACGGGTGACTATCGGCAAAAAAGGGATAAACTGACACACTCAACATATCTGTCAACCCTCAAGGTTTTGGCGACCAGTGAGTGAACATGGTGGGGTTCAAAAGTGGGGACGATGTGAAGGTGAGGTGTGGTATAACTTGCCTAAGAGGGTGTATCAGGTGAGGGAGAGGGGAGGGACGACTCCCCTCAGTGCGAAGGCGCGAGGTGAGGGAGATGGGAGGTCAAACGCTCCCCACAGATTTGGATCTAAAGTGAGACGGAGAGGAGGGATAACTTCCCCCATTGATTGGGTATGAAGTCAGGGTAAGATGTCGGTTCAAACCCGAGCCCCCGGAAAGGCTGTTCTTAGGGGTGAGGATGAGAGGAGGTGCCCTCCCCTCTGTTGCGGGTATATGAGTTTAGTGTGAGGCGAGGTTCAACTCCATCCACTGGGCTGGGCTTGATAAGTGGATGAGGGGAGGCTTACCTTCCCTCAGTGAGAGTGTATAAGGTGAGTGTGAGGGAGTGTTCACCGGCCCGGGCTGGGTGGGGTTTGAGAAGAGGCTGAGGGGAGGCTGATATTCCCTCAGTGAGAGTGTATGGGGTGAATGTGGGGAAGTGTTCAACTTTGTCCCCAGGGCTGGGCTTGAGAAGAGGGTGAGGGGAGGCTCACCTTCTCTTGGTGGGTGTGTATGAGGTGATTGTGATGGGAGGTTTCACCTTCCCCCACTGGCCTGGTTTTGTAAAAAGGCTGGGGGGAGCCTGATCTTCCCTCAGTGAGTATGTATGAGGTGAGTGTGATGGGAGGTTTCAACTCCCACCATTGGGCTGGTTTTGATTAGAGGCTGAGGGTAGCGAGACCTTCCCTCAGTGGGTGTGTATGAGGTGAGAGTGAGGGAGGGAGGGTTCAACTCCCCCCACTGGGCTGGGTTTTGAGAAGAGGTTGAGGGGAGGCTGCCCTTCCCCCTGTGAGTGTGTATGAGATGAGTGTGATGGGAGCTTCAACTCTCCTCGCTGGGCTGTGTTTGAGAAGTGGCACAGTGGAGGCTGACCTTCCGTCAGCGAGTGTGTTATGAGGTGAGTGTGAGGTGAGTGTGTTCTGGGGTGAGTGTGAGGGAGGGTTCAACTCCCCCCACTGGGCTGGGTTTTGAAAAGAGGTTTTTCGGAGGCTGACCTTCCCTTCGAGACTGTGTATGAGGTGAGTGTGGGGGGAGGTTCAACTCCCCTCACACGGCTGGGTTTTGAGAAGTGGCTGAGGGGAGCGTGACCTTCCCCAAATGGGTGTGTATGAGGTGAGTGTGAGTGAGGATTCAACACCCCTCACTTGGCTGGGTTTTTAGAAGAGGTTGAGGGGAGGCTGACCTTCCCTCAGTGAGTGTGTATGAGGTGAGTGCGAGGGAGGGAGGGTTGAACTCCCCTCACTAAGCTGGGTTTGATAAAAAGTTGAGGGGAGGCTGACCTTCCTTTTGAGAGTTTGTATGAGGTGAGTGTAGGGGGGGGTTCAACGCCCCTCACACGGCTGTGTCTGGGAAGTGGCTAAGGGGAGCGTGACATTTCCTCAGTGGGTGTGTATGAGGTGAGTGTGAGGGAGGGATGGTTCAACACCTCTCACTGGGCTGGGTTTTGAAAAAAGGTTGAGAAGAGGCTGACCTTCCCTCAGTGAGTGTGTACGAAGTGAGTGCAAGGGAGAGAGGGTTCAACTCCCCTCACTGGGCTGGGTTTGATAAGAGGTGGAGTGGAGGCTGACCTTCCCTCAGTGAGTGTGTATGAGTGTGAAGGAGTGGTCAACTCCCCCCATTGGGTTGGGTTTGAGAAGAGGCTGAGGGGAGCCTGACCGTCCCTCGGTAACTGTGTATGAGATCAATGCTAGTGAGGTTTCACCTCCCCCCACTGGGTTGGGATTGAGAAGAGGGGGTCAGGTGGCTGATCTACTCTCGATGAGTATGTGTGAGGTTTGGTTGTGAAAAGGATGAGAAATTCTCAATGAGATGCACACAACATGCACACTTCTTCCGGCATGTCTAGTAATTGCATTGTACACAACTATGCCATCAAAGTGACATTACACATGCTAGTTTTCGGAAATATTTTTGCCCATCTACGTGCCCTGTCACCCTGCCAGGTGCACTCAATTGCGAGAGCGCCTGGGATTTACGATCATCCAGCGTCTCAGGCATGCAAAGATGCTGAAAAAGGAAGTGCAACAATTTCGCATCACATGCGACCGTTACTATGTGTTCTCCGGGTCGGCATGTCGGCGCTGTATCCAGGCAACTCCGTGGCAACACATGACGACGTCATGCATTTCCTTACCGAGGCTGCCCCGCATGCGACGCAGCGACTTATCGATGCGGGCATCGCTGCA